GATCTATATGATTTAAAGTTGAACATGTATTCATGTACAGTTTCGTATTTATTTTTATTAATCATATTGTTTTGATTTTTGAATTTATGAGTTTACTGGTGAAGTACTTTTTCAGAAAAAATGAACGATAAAGCTAATTCAAGTATAAAAATAATGATATATTGTGTCATCTTGTTGAAAGGAAGTGTTACTTTATCAGTTTTTGTCAATTAAATCCTACACTTTATAGGGAGAAAATGTACCTCAGTGATGTAGCCCATTGAATAGAGAAATGTATCCCAAATGTACCCCATTTTGACTTGAAAAAAACCCATTTGAAAAATAAGAAATGGCAACCCTGCTTTAGTCAGAGACTATAGAGACATCATGATTGGATTGAAATATGATTTAAATCACAAAAAAAACTGGCTCAACTGACCAAAATAATGGTCGAATTAATGCATATCTGTAGTCAATTATTTTATCGAGATTGCCATTTGTAGCATTTGTATGGTCACTTTTACTAAGTGTTATAGATAGACACAAATGAGTTCATAACATATTTCTTTCTTCACGTGCTCATTTTTGTATAACAGTTTCACTGCTCATGAATCGAAAACAAGAAATTGAAATTGAAATAAGTAAAATCGAATTTAAACGAACGCTGAATCTCATAAGTCGAAAATATTTTCAAATAGTAATATATTTCTTTTAAAATAAATCAAAATAATATATCTGACCTCTTCCATACCTTAGAAAATAGGAATACTGACTCAATAATATAATTCAATAGAAAAATCCGTTTGATTTTTATGTTTTCAGATTATATAAATTATAAAAACTCACACTCAATGAAAAGACTTTCATAGTTAGTATTAGTAATGATTATTAGGAGTTCAAATTCTTTCACATCGGTGTGCATGTGTATATAAAATAAAATGAAGCATGTAGATAAAGGTGCAAACCAATGTGTAAAGTTCATCAGATCGAGTCTGAAGATTTTTATTAGTCAGGTTCGGATTGAAAAACATTTTAATTCATATTAGAAATCTTTTAAAAATTTCTTTCAATTTTTGTTCATCTTACTCCAAAAACGTTAAATTTGTTTCTAAAAAATGGCAAAAAACAAACAATAAAATACAAGCTTCTTTCAAGTCTCAACCGACAAAAAATTGATTGCTGCACTTTTAGATCATGAAATTTCTAATCAATCGCGTCTGAGTTCACAAATTATTGGACTCGTTAACCTTTGCCATTGCATAACAGCCTCTACTAGACTTAACAGGATTTTTTAAAATCATAATAAAACTAGATTTTTTTAATTTTTATTTCGTTATATACAGATAATTACAAAAAATCAGAATTTTTCAACAACGGAAAATAAACGTGAAAATCCTTTGATTGTGCTATTGTCCATTGATAATCGCTATCATCAAGATTGATAAAATTGTGAAACTCTAATTCTTCCACATTGATACAATTAAGTCTCGTTGCATCTCTAGTAAAGTTATTTGTTATAGTTTTCAATTGATCATAATCAATCACTAATTCTGTTAGACAAGGTAAATGTGTTTTTGATTCATTTAACATTTGTTCAACATAATCAATATGTGTACGGCAAAACTCAAGTGATCTAAGATGAAGATATTGGACAACCTCAAATGATTCATTATTGTCATGTTCAGATCTAGCTGAATCTTTTGACTGTGCTTTATAATTTATAATCAATAAAGCTTTCAATAATGGAAAACATCGAGCCAATCGAACAAAAAATTCATGTTCGAATGGGATACCGTCATATACACATAAAAAAGTAACATTCTTGAATATCGTATTCGTATAGCTATTACCAATGTATCCTATACGTTTAAATTTAAACGGAAGGGAGAAAACATGGTATGTGATATCAGACTCTTTGAAATGATTCATACTACAGCTAACTTGTCCAAATTTAACATTAGAAAAAGTTCGTTGAATATCATCATTTGATAAAGGAGTAACAGGATGATTGGAATAAGTAAAAGTACAGATATAAAAAACAAATGTTTGAAGCTTTGACAAATGAATAAGAACATCATTTTCAAGTTGAATGCCATCGACGAGTCTATTTCGTTCCTTGATTTGAATATATAATGTTAAATCTTGAAGATTACACATTTGACGAAGAAGAGGTACAACTTGATTATCATATTCATTGGTTAAAGATTCATATGTCAATGAGAAACATTTCAAATTCTGTAGAACATTCTAAAACATACAACATAATCAGTTTATATCAGTTTCAGGAAGAAATAGGTTTACAATTTGAGATCATTAGGCCCCAAAATTCTTGTATCCCAAGGCTCAACAATGAATTTTTTGTTGGTTCATACTTGAACGAAACTTATACTTTATTTTTTTTCTACTTTTAAAAATAACTTAAATACTTTTGAAATAAGATGAACAATAATTTAAAGAAATGTCTAATATGAATCAAATATTCTTTTCAATCTGTAACTGACTCATAGAAATCTTCAAAGTCGGATCCGATGAATTTTACTCATAATTTAAGATCATATATTAGATTTAAAAATTTTTCTTCAATCTTTTTAATCACTCGATTACGTAGAAAAACTTTTGGTAATAATATATGAAATATATAAACTTTTACTAGATTAAAACACGATGAATTATATTAAGATATTATAAATCAATGAAAAAATTATATGAATTAAAATCTTATCCAAATACTTTACTATTTCTCTATTAGATATTAAATCAGAAGTAGAAAACTGGAAAGTAACCCTGGTCCGGCGAGGATCATCTTTTGATTTTCACAGCATCAGGTCTAGTAATTTGATAAACTGGTACCGCTACATCGTTTGTTCAAGAAATTATTTCCTATTTTTTTAATTTATAATATTTCTTGACTTAGAATCAATAGTTCGATTTTTTTTATTTATTATTCTGATGATAGTACAGATGTACAAGCTCAGCTTCATCAATATTTATAAGACTAGACAGATTTCCAATGATCATATAATTAAATTGATACTTCAGTAGACATTGATTGAAAATTATTCAATTCGATCTAGCATCAATGCAAGAATGATAGATTCTAAGAAAGTTTTCAAAATAAAAGATGTAACAGAAAAGATTTCAAGTAAGAAATAAAATGTTTGCTATTTTCTTAGATGTAATCCATAAATATAAAGATATGCCGGTATTGCTAATTTCTTGAAAATATCGGTTTTAATTATACATTATTTATAGTTAAGTATTTTGGAAAAATCATATAGATTCACACAAGAATAAACAGAAAGGTTTAACAACAACTGATGGAGGAGCCGGACAAAAAAAATTGATCCCACAGTTCTCTAATCAAAATAAACCATTCTACATTAACTAGTTTATTCTATCGAAAAAAATATGCATGTATCAATTATAAAAATCAATCTTTCAAACAATATTGGATCTTCATTACTTACTGAATTGAATTCCATTGATGAAGAATCTTTGACATTAACGATAATAACAATAAATGTAGACAATTGATTGAGACGACCATCAAGTAATCGAAGACAATCTCCAAAACTATCCACAGTGATCCGTAATTTAGTTAGATTTGAAGAAACAAAAGTATTTGATGGTAAATCAACAAATGATAATACTGCATTATTAATAAAAGATGGTTCAATACAATCTAAACAGTTTAGATTTGCAAAGAAATCAAAAAATTTTATATATATATTTGTCATCTGATCTATCGTTTCTACTTCATCACTGCGATGAATCAGTGTAAGATCTGTAATTTGTTTTTTGAAATTGTATCGGAAAAGTAATTCATCTAAACACAAAATACAATTAAATATCCTAATCTTCTATTTTTTATTTAGATAAATAAATTCCTAAGTTATTTACCTGTACAAAAGTGTGAAAACAAATTTCCATGAAATTGGAATATTTTGAGTTGAGTTAGATTTGGATAAACACCAGCACGTAGAATACGATCCATAGTTGTTGTTTTCAAATAAAGACATTTAACATTGTAATGAATTCGAGGTAATATATCCTTGCAAAATCGATTTAACATTGGTTCATCCATTGAATAATTATCATTATTATCGGTAAACGCAAAATTGAGAGTGTTTGTAAATATTTCATCTTGTGCTAGAATGTCAAGTCCTTCAACTCCGATCAATGAATAGAGAACATCTATATTGTTCAATTCTTTTAAGATCTTAAGTAATATCTCAACAGGTAGATCAATTAGATGAATGTCAGTCCGATTCATGTTTACGTTTGATCGTTGTGATGCTTTTTTCAAAGTATTTATATATATATTCTTGTGTCTACGTTTGTCTAGCTCGGTGACAGGCCGTCAAAAATGCATTTTTATACATTGTTACGGATCAGCGTTTCTAATGGAAATCTAAAATACAATGTACTGTACACTCTATTTTCTTAAAACAAAATGTATGTGTACACTTTATTTTTAAAAGGTAAGTGTACAAAATGTACTCAAACAAAGGTTCATTTACTAGAAAAACACGAAAAATAAATCAAGCTCATATTTTTTTCCTTTTATAAAATAATACATCAATTTTAAACAAACAAATAATAGATAAAAAAGTACAATTTACATTTGATAGCTTCATAAATACATAAACTGTAAATATAAAAAACTGGAATAAGAAATCAACATAAAATTTTAATATAGATTACTATGTAATGTAATATACAATGTTCTCAATAAATGAAATGAAGAAAAAAAAAGGCAATCATATTGCGCAAATCACAGAGAGGACTAAAAGATGCTACTATTATCGATGATTTCAGAGCAAATATCTAAGAATAAAAATACTTCTCAATATATAAAAAAACAAAGTGTATATTCACTTGGTAAAGTGTACCTTGTACACTCTAATTTTTTAAGCAAGTGTACCACAGCGTGTATTTTTGAAATAGCAGGTGTCCCGTACATTTTACTTCTGCTGGGTACACCTGCCATTAGAAACGCTGCTTCTAACGTGTCGATGGCTTTACTTAATTAAATATAATAAATAATTGAACGAAGCAATGGGCAAAAATAAACTACGTAAATAACGTTTAACATTTTCACTCGTTCTATGAATACCACATATTCCATTTTCTTTTAATCCTTGCTAAAAAGAAAAACAAGATTAGATTTATTTATAGACAATTTTTATAATTGTATTCTACGTACATAATCAGGATCTCGATCTGTACCAAGATATGGATGATGATTTTTAACATGTGATACTTGATAACCACGGAAACTTTGAAATATTACATAACCCGAACAGAATGTACCGAGAAAAAAATTAAGATATTTATTACTGGCAAAACAATTGTGCGTTGCTTCATGTAAACCACGGGCTAAACCTCGTTGTCGTGCACCAATGATGCATATAGCTAAAGCATACGAAACAGGCCAAATGAAAGACAAATAAATATTGTTGCGCACATATTGTGATATTGAAGCGCACGCAATGATAATTGTCCAGTCAGCAATAATTGCTAGTAATCCATGATAATTATCTCGTTTATTGGCAAGTGTATATTTTGCTATTTCATTGCGTAAATTTTTATCGAATTTGTATCTTTCAAATGGTGACACATGCTTGTGTGAGGAAGTTTCTGAGGACATATGAAAGCTTAGTCTGGTATAAATGTAAGAAGAAAAATGAATATTAATGTATGTCACTAAACCTTCGTTCATTTTTATACCTAATTCAGGTATAAAATTTCCCAGAATTCCTTAGTTTCAATACAATCTTTTTATTACTAATCTTCCATATTATTAATAGAAAAATTCATTCATGTCATCATAACTTTCCAACTTTCAGTAGAAAGTGAACAATCAGTATGCAAATTAGAAGGAAAATGATTCATCTACTTCCTTGTAATTTCAAAATTAAGCTTTGAATATTGTATCGTTCTTTTTCCATATTGGTGAGTTACAAGTAGAATGAATCACATTAGCATGGATAATATGCATATTGCGTTTTATTTTCTAATAATATCGGTGAGCTTTCCATTTTTCTTTTGCCAAAGGCAGGCGAGCTAAATGTAACAATGACTCAAATGAATTTTCCTAATATTTTCTCTTAGAATTTTCCAGCAAAAAATCCATATTGCTTTGTTTTCTGTTTTACCAATTGATTGCGAAGTAGAATGAGCTAGTCATACTGGAGTCATATGTATTCTGGAAGCTTCCTAATAAAGGGTCACTTGTGAGTTCTTTCCCATAATGAAACTCGTTTGGAAGGAAGATGAATAAGAAGCATGAGACATTAATATCTTTCACAAATTTCGAAGGAAGTGGTATGAACACGGAAATAAATGCAACCTGCTATAAAATAGACTGAAGGTTAGTTATTCTCTTTACTTCGAGTTTTTTTTGGACTACTTTACAATTGTTCCAATTCTGTTTAGAGACATTCATGTGAGCAGGCATATCTGTGTTATTAGAGGGCATTGCCCTGAATAAGAGAAACAAAATAACTAACTTTGTTTTAGATCAACATGAAACAAATTTCCAACTGATGCAGTACATCTCATACAAATTTTTCGGTTGGCTTTGATGTTTGGATGAGAAATATTCTCCTAGAAAGCATCTAAAGAGAGAAGCATTTGTAAGTGAAAACTGTATTTTTGTTCGGAAATTCGATTAAAACTGAGTTGACTAAGAAAATCTATAGGTTTAGTTCTTGTTCATAAAATGCTTGTTTTTTTTGGCATTTGTATGTAACTGTATCATGGTTGCGTTATCAAAATAAAGAGTAAGTAAAAAGCATTGTTTATAACAGTGTGAGTTTCTGTATCAGCAGATTATTCTATATTATTCTTTTAGTTCTCCATTTTTCCATGCTTTGCCATTGTTCTTAGAGTCAATTCAAGAATTGCACGTGTTAATCGAAAAAGAAAAGTCTGCGAAAACGTTTTTTTGAATCAGAGTATAGTCGAAAAAGCCTTTAGTTAGATCTAGCTAATACTTTCGTGAAGCTAAAAAGTGTATTTATTGTTTATAATAGGAAAGATCCTATAAAACGGAATTACAATCATTATTATTATAATTTATTATATGACTTATTCTCAAGTTACGTTTCATTATCGAGAGTACTTTCACTTTGATTAGGTGGTCCCAATAGAGTAATGCTTTTACGTCTTGGTATGCTAGGTCTCTACACAATGAAGTAAATAACCAAATAATCAAAAAGAGATAGATTTTATTAACAAAAAAATTAGCGATGTTAGGAAATATTCGAAAATGACTTAGATCAAACTTAAGAAAGCTTTATCTAAATATTAGGCGTAGCATGAACTCGTTGGGTAGTTTCCAAACACGAGCCTTTTAGTTCAAACTGAAAACAAGAATTCAAGCTCGTTGCATTTCTACTTATGATAGATATTACAAGATATTTTCTTCGTACTTTTCGAAATTTTCCAAACAATATTCATAAACTATCATCAGAAAATGATTTTTATGCTTTTCACTTTTGAAGAAAGTTCTTTTTTATAATAATTATTAGTCTGTGTGCGAGGATTCTATTCTGTTGCGCTTTCGTAGACTGAAAGGATAGAATCTAGAAACTGAAATTCATCTGTGTCTGTGTGTCTGTCTGTAACACTTGGTACAAGTGACCATTTCCATGATATAAAGTACCATAGTCATGATACAGGTGACCATTTTCATAGTACAAAGTACCATATTCGTGATACAAGTGACGATTTATTTGACACAATTGGTCCTTTTCATTATACAATAAACTGTTTATGTGGTGTAATTCATCATGTTCACGGTACAAGCAACTATTTCTATGGCACAGTTGATCATTATTATGGCTTAAATGAGCATGTCTGTATGACAATTGACCATGGTCGTATCAGAAATGCCCATTATCTGGGCATCATTCACCATGTTTTGGTCGTTATAATTAACTAAAGCATCAACGTTATCGTATACATTAGCATGTTTCAATATTTTATGTGAACTAGTTGAATATTTCGATAGCATGTAATATAAGGCATGCTACAAATATTAATGATTTCTCCTAAGCTCATCATTATACAGAATTCTTTTTGTTTAAATATAAGGGCATCTTGGTCATCATTTCGTCAGTCTAGGACCAAGTGAATCGACATTCAATGTCGATGAACGTTACTTGTAGATACTACCAGTTAAAATTAGTTTACTTTGAACACAATTTCTTCTGTCTTTTTTTTTTATTGACATATTACGAGATATTTGAAAGAGTTTTTACAAAAAAAAATGTTTTTTTTTAATTTTATAGATAGCTTTATCATGGGTGTCCTAAATTACTCTTTTCATATGTTTCTTTCATAGAAATACGTTTCCACTTCACTGTCACATTTTGACATTATCCAAAATTTCGCTGACAATCTTTCTGCATACGTTTTCTTTTCTCATTATTGCTTCTATATATGTTCTTTTTCTTCCTCTCTACTTCATGACTAACAAGCATACTATATGTTGAGTTTTGTACTGTTTCTCTGAAAGTCGTGATAGTATTTTTTTTTTTGTAAAATATACTAATTCATATTAGTGTGGTTTCATTCTGGTCAATGATATTGAAATGCTCAGTATATATATTATCAATTGCTATTATAAATGACCTATTTTAGATTTGCATGACAATGAGTTCCCCAACACTGACAAATCAAGTCTTCCAAGCACTATGTTCTTATTTAAATGAAAATCATATTACTTATCGACAAGTTCAACATCATCCAACATATACATCGGAAGAATCATCATTAGCTCGTGATGAAGATATAATCATTGATGGAAAAGCTCTTCTAATGAAAGTCGACGACCAATTTCATCTATTTGTGTTAAGTGCAGCAAAAAAGTATGATTCGAAGAAAATTAAAGAACGATTTAATGAGAAGAAACTTCGATTTGCTAATAGTGATGAATTGTACCAATTGACAGGACTAGTTCCTGGCAGTGTTCCACCATTCGGTCATCCAATTTTGCCGTTTAGTCTATTTGTCGATGAGAGTATTATCAAGAACGAAAAAATTGCATTTAATGCTGGTCTATTAACAGAATCTATTATCATGCAAGTACAAGATTACTTGAAGATAGTACAAGCAGAAGTTTTCTTATTTTCAGTCGATAGATGATTTTTAAAATGATACTCGTTGACTTTGTATGTTTGCTTTTCGTTTTTTATCGATTCGCATTTGAGAAATAATAAATGTGGTCTTGTACTCTTTTCTATATTCGATATCGTTTTTCAAATGATGTTTTTTTCAAGTTTTTCGTACCAAGTCAATGTCTCTGGGCGGGAGTAGGTGTGACTATGGCGTTTGAAACTCCTGTTTTCCTACACCAACACTTACGTACCGACATCCACACTTACAGGCACATTCACATTCACGCCCACACGTACACCCACACCCACACACCCACACCCACACCCTTGCAAAGGTTCCGGACACATTTTACGAAACCTTGAAGAGTTTCGTCACTTATCTGAAGGTTCAGTGTACATGTCACGAAATCATTAGCAGTTTCGCAGAGTATCTAAAGGTTCCGTATTAGTTCTACGAAACCATTCATAGTCCCTTAAGTGCTCTTGTAGTTCCGGAAATGTTGTACGAAACTAGCCGTGGTTTCGTAAAAGATATACCGAGCCACTACATCATTTACGAACCTATGAACGGTTTCGTATAATGGATACCAAACCTTTTGATGTTTTACGAAAGTTTTGATAGATTCGTATAAGATATACGGAACCTTTGTATGTTCCACGAAACTATCAGTGGTTTCGTAAAACATCAAAAGGTTCAGTATAAATTGTGCGAAACTTTTCACAGCTTCGTAAATGATGTAATGGTTCGGCATATCTTTTACGAAACCATGGCTAGTTTCGTACAACGTTTCCGGAACTATAAGAGCGTTTACGCAACTGTGAAAGGTTTCGTAGAACTACTACGGAACCTTTAGATGCACTACGAAACCGTCAACAGTTTCGTACGAAACATGCGAAACCTCCGAAAGTTCAGTACACAGTGCGCGAAACTCTCAGAGGGTTTCGTAGTAAAACTTCGAAACCTTCTTCGGTTTGCAGAACTTAAAAAGGTTCAGTGTGAAGACTACGAAACCTTTTTCATCCCACGGAACTTAAAATGATTTCGAAAACCATTACGAAACCTTCAAAGTTTGGTAGAACGCCTAATTTTTTTACAGTGTAGACAGTGCAGTGGTTTAAGGGCAGAATTTGATACATTTGAAGGACAGGGATTTAGTAGAAATTAAACAATAAACGAACACATTAATAATCAGATGTAAGAATGAAGATAATGTCGACAATAGACCAATTACAGTTCATAGGCTTAATAATGAAAACGAATATTTGCATTCGGAAAAATTGAACGAACAAATTCTTCCATTTGTCTATATTCCGATGTTTATATTAAATTAAAAGAGTAAAATTAGATCAATGCCTCGGTTTCTGGATGGAGTCATGAGTGCTCTCTTAAGAAGTCACGCGAAAAGACGAACACAATGGAGAGATAATGATATAGGATTGAAGATATCATATTCAAAGAAAAGAGAGAGAAAGATTGGTGTGAAACACAGTTTGTAACAAATGTCATCAACCTGATGTGTTTGTCTGCCATATGATATTGTTCGAAGAATCCGTCCAAATAAGATTCCCACTATCTAACATTTGTAGACAAAATACCGCATACATTCCGCCGTTCGGTGTATTCGTTGCCCACACGGGAAAAACAGTACTTGTGTAAACAACTAGGTTTCGGTCAGCTTGCGCGACTAAAAAAGTACCCGCTGGTGTTGATGGTTGAGGAACAGTCCACAGTGCTGTGGAAGTAATGTTGGCATTGGTGTAGGCAATATAGACGCCAAATTGCCCATTAAGCATACCAGCTGCGTAGTGTTGGGAGGGAGAATAGATGAATTGATTGTCATAGAGCACGGCATGATTATTGGAGGCTGAACAAATGATTGATGGAGGAGCTAGAATAAAACAAAAGTAATAAAGGGTGTGGGTGTGGGTGGGTGTGGGTGTGAGGGCGTGGGTGTGGGTATGGGTAAGGGTGTGGGTGTGGGTTTGGGTGTGGGGTGTGGGTGTGGGTGTGGGTGTGGGTGTGGGTGTGGGTGTGGGTGTGGGT